GAGAAAGAAAGTCAAAATCCCTTCACTAAAAAGCAGAGCAACTTTAATAAGAATGCTTACAATTAGTCTAGTTAGCCCAACTGCAATAAATAAATAGAAATATTGGTTCCGCAGAATACCTTGTAAACAGAACCAAAACCACCTTCTCCAATCTTATTGGCTTTGTCAAAGTTGTTTGTGGCATCTTTAAGTTGCCTGAAGCTAAATTTACCAGTTTGCAGGTCCACGCCCTTTAAATCTGTGTAAGAAGCAAACTCATATAAAAAATTGTGTCTAAAAGAAATTCATAATGGTAAGCATATTATTTTTCATATCACGCTACTGATTCAAGGCCAAGAATTTAACAAGTGGACCTATAGTAAATTTTGCATTGGGAGTTTGAACAGATAATATATTCTAGCAGCATTAATTCGTTAGAAATGAAAAAAAAAACATATGATAAACCATTATAACAGCATAAACATGTAAATACCATCTTCCAAAGTATTTTGTTGTCCTAAGAGGCCTCTCCTCCAAAGAATACCAAAAACCAGTAATATAATGAAGACTCCTCCAGCCACAATTCCCACTACTGCACCTAGAATTCCACCAGGTGATGTGCTACTTGCAACAGATGCAACTTCTGGTGGGGGTGGGGGTGGGGCTTCAAAGTCTGCCAGAAGAAGAATTGCTTTATTAGAGTAAATGTAAATGTAATAGATAAGAGAGTACATTATTCAACCAGCTACCTAATACACAAAGAGACAAAAGATTCAACCCTCTAGGGGAACCTTAACATATATAGATAGAAAAATACACAGATGCATTTTTGTGGCAATACAAGCAAAAAAAACAACAACTGAAGACTCCGATGATGGAGGCGATCAATTTATTGAGTACCACACAGTCCTTATCAGTTCCCCTCACCCCAAAGAAAATAAAAGTAAAAAAATCAGAAGCAGCAAGCACTCTGCAGAACTAAAGCCAGGTCTTTTAATTTTGTTAAAATATTAATGCCTAACATGATATTTACATATGAGAAACTCCCAATGGTCTACAAATAGTCATTATTAGAAGCACAATGTAAAGTTACCTAAAGGATCTGCCGAAATAGCTGATATAAGAGGACCATAAACTCCTCTATGAGGGATACCGGTCGTCCCTTTCCCAGCCCAATAGAAACGGATCTCCAAGGTACCACTAGTTACAGAAGCATTATACTTCTTTGTGACTACAGTACTAATCCCACCAGCTGCATCCACAATATTGAAATCCTCTTGCACTAGTCTCCCCTGCAATATACTAGTTTTGTTACTTAAAATTGGGTAATGATTTCCCCACCCCAATTTTATCCACTTACACTTCTTTTTTAGTTATAAAATGGAGTGTAAGTGGATAAAATTAGAGTGAGGAAATCACCGCTCTTAAAATTTTGTTGAAGAATATAAGTTCCACGTCGGAAACTTGACAAAATAAAATACAACTTATAAAGAGTTGTTCCACTACTAATATCACTGTGGCCTTTTGTGATAAAACCCCCAATCTACCCGGCTTTGTAGGTAATTAAGTTTGAGATAATATCGGTGTTGCTATTAATAGGCTGATGGCCCGTCTCTCTAAAATTTAACACATTTCATATTGTAATGTGACCCTTACCTGAATGTAAACATCAAATATACGCCTTCCCAGGCTTTTATATGTTTGGCCATTTGTAAACGCTGTCTCTACAAAATGGAGGTTTACAGTGTATTTTCCATTTGCCAGACAAAACCCATAATAAGTTAGAGAGATGGGAGAAAGGCGTGCATTCTTGTACAGTTGTGGATCGTCCATAGCGGGTGTTTCGTTGGTCAATTTATAAGTAAAGGTGTCCGCAACATTAGTCAAGGCGTCTTCAGGACTGTCATCATCAATAAAGTAACCAGTGCTGCTTAAAGCCCAATTTGGTGACGTTCGGCGAAACGAAGAAGGTCCAGCCCTATCATTGTCACCATCAAACGGGGACCCATTAACAGTTACTGCTTCTCCCCCACAATTTATACGGAGTTCGTACCAAGCTACAACGAAAGCAAAAGGGGATTAGTGGCTATAGGGAGAGATTACTTATTTATCTCTTCTATTTCATTTCAAAGGAACTGTCAGAGGATTAGTCGACATTTTAAGCAAAAGGACTATGGGGCAATATGTGGAATCCCAACTTACTTCGTGGACATTTTGGAATTTGCAAACATGTAGTTTTTCTGATACGAGAATGCAGCAGGATCCAGAAGAAGTCAGCAAGATAACATCATAAATAAAAATAAGTTGTAAAATAAAAATTAAGAATACACAGTTGGAATGTCAAGTAAATTTATCTATGCATGTTTTCAGAGGATTAATTTGTAACTTACGAACTATTGGCCTCTGAAAAGCTTGCAAACAAGTTCCTGTAGAAATTAACAAAAATTGAAAATTGGTACAAGACACAAACACAGTAAACTCAAGCTAATGAAGACATTCTTACAGGATTCTGCTTGGTGATGGACAACCTGTGGCCCCTATGGTGAATTTGTTATATGAAAGATCACTGCACAAAAATTTCCGTATGCAGCAGTACGAGAATAGAAAATAAAATGAGTAACAGTATGAGAATAGAGAATAAAATTTCCAAATGCAGCGGTATGAGGTAGGTATTCACATGGTTGGACTGAAGTTTTTTATATCAATTCTAGCTAGAGTTCATTCTGATAATCCAATATTAAAACACCGTTCATAGTCATAGGTACCCTAAGCTCTCACAACTGTCCAAGTTAAGCCAAGTTCACCTTAAAATTTCCTCGTCCTTAAAATTTCCCTTGGGAACTACCTTCAATGTCGAATCCTATCCTTCCTTGTCTTCCCACACGTGACACATCCATCTTGACATTTGTTAAAGTATAAGTGTGTTAGCTGGATATTTGCGTTACTTGATTTAATTGTAGTGAATTAGCTGTGAACCATTGGATCACAGTCCAATGGACAGCTAAGATGTATTCTTAGTTATATTAACGTATTCTGCCAAGTGTAACTATCTCATAGGATAGTGAAATTGATTGTTAGATTTGGATGATGTAAAAAGGGGAATATTCTATTCCCAATAGATATATTTTGCTGCACAGCTTGTGCGTGACTAAGTGAGAGAATAGACTTAATTTTCTCATCTTCTTCTCCAAGCTCTCTGTGTTTTCTTTTCTTACCTGAGCTCCATCTACCAATAATCCAAATTAATCAGATTATAGTCTGAGTATTCTAACAACATTCTCATTTCTACCACACTCATTTTATGAACATGTTGTTTTCTAAGTGCCATATAGCATGGCTGGTCTACCAATATATGCAGAGAATGCTTAGGAGATATGAGGGAAACCTTGAAAAAGCTTAGGAATCATAAAACTTAGGATACATTTTAAGATACCTTTTAGAGATATTTAGTGATATACCCATTCTTAGCACTAATATTATAAATAAACCCTACACCATTGAAATTCTATAAACAAACCCAAAAAAAACCAAAAAAATGACAGCTGGTCTTATTAAATTTAATATTGATTATTAAATTACTTTAATGCCCTATTAAGTGTTTTGGGTATTTTTATAAGATTTTGGGGTTGGGCTTGTTTTAAGAAATTTATGGTAGTTTTGTAATTTATAAGAAGTTAAAGCCTATTTGTTATGTTGTAAATAGGCTTTGGGTGTGTTTATAAAGTCCATTTCATATGGGGGTATTTTTATAATTTAGGTCCCCATATTGGGTATAATAGTGAATCTCCCTACTTTTTAAAGTCATGAGTATAACGAATGCACCATGCTTTATCCAGCAGTAATAAACAGCATAAATTTCCTTACTAAATAACTAAATATTAGACTTTGGAAGAGAAGCTTACACATTTTGTTTCGTCCAAGTAGGCACGGGTCCAGTCAGCAAGTTTCCAGTTAAGAATCTAAACATAATTGGTACAGGAAAAACGGCATAAATTACTAGAAAGGGGTATAAACAAAAGCAATGAATTACTAGAATGCCAGAATGGTAAGCATGATTAACACGTCCAGCTTGTACGGCTGGGGTGTGACAAAACCATTGAAGAATGTCTGCTTGAGTTTTCTTGTAAGAAAGTCAGAATTTGTTATTCGAATTGCTTACATATTATCCACGTCTGCTAGAGCATCAAAGTTTCTTGGAATTTCCCCAGTTAGCTTGTTAAAGCTGAGGTCTCTGCACAAATCAATAACAAATGCATTTCAGATATGCTACCCCAGAGGAAACCGTTATTTAAATTATAAACAAATAATAAAATCACTCCGGGAATAAGGTAAGTGTAGAATCTATGCCAGGATCTGCTTTTGTGTATGCCTCCATGTGTGATTACGCTGATTACTTAAAAATAGGGCATGTTCTCCTTGTACATAGTCGTTTGATACGGCAGATTGTCATGGACTAGACTAAATCTTAGAACTGTCTTGGATTAGTTTGGATTGGACTAAACTGGATTAAGTACTAACCTATGTTTGGTGTTAGGTCGGACTAAGAAGCTGAATTGTGAAAATAATGAAGACCTATGTTTGGAGTTGTGTCGAAGTAAAAAATAATTATTTTAATAATTAATTTTAATTATAAATAAATAAAATTCTAATATTTGATATTTACTTTTAATTAAGGATTTTGACCTAAAAATAAATAATAATAAAACAAATAAATTTTAATATTTTGACCTAAACTATCTTATCTCTTCTTCATTTTTTGCCTTTTTTCCTCCTTTCTTTCCTTTTCTTCTACCTTTCCTTCCCAGCCCGTCCTTGTTTTTTTTTCCTTTCTTCATGTTCTCTTCTTCCTCACGACTTTTGATCCTTCCCTCATTTTTGTCTTTTTCTCAAATTTTCTTCCCTGCCAAAAACTCCTCAGTTGTGATTCTCTCACAAATTTCATCAATTCTTTCTATAATTTTCTTCCTAATCACTTTTCATTACTCAATTTGTTCATACGATGAACGATTCAACTCAATCTCATGGCTCACCATCATCTTCACCACTCTCTGCATCTGCCATGGCTGCTTCAACTCTTGCGTCAATTCAATGAATCATGGCTTCTATTTGAGGCCCCCCAAAGTTGGAGCCCATGGTCGTTGCCTTCCGACCTCAAGGCCGACACCGTGCGCTATTCTGATAGCCAAACAGAGACCCAAGCCTCGTCGTCCCTGACCCACATGTACGACCAGAGCTCGGCCTTCGGCGACCAGTAGCAGCAGCAAGATCTCAACGCGATTATTGGGTTTCAAGCCTTTTCGATGAACTTGGGCTCGGAAGTGGAGGACTTGGCGTCCATTGCCTGGACTCGTGTCTAAGTGAAGAAGAAGAAGAAGAAACCGGTATCGCGTTGGACTTGCTTGTTTTGTTTAGTGAGCTCGCTATTGTGCAAACCGTGTTTCAAGCTCGCTATATTGGAAGAGCGAGCGAGGCAATTTTTGTACTGTTGGGCTATATAAGCTCATTTAAGTTAGTCCCCTTACCTGCCAAACGTGGGTTTGAAGTACTATTTAAGGCTGTCCTGTCCAGTGAGGCCTCCCAAACATCCTCAAAGTCATTCAATAATCCTTGAGTTATTAGAATAGCATCTAGAAAGGAAGATAATTTATCTGAAGACAGTAAATAAAACATGGACAAAGACATTTTGTACTAACAAAGTTTTCAAACTTTTCATGTCCCCAAGATATGGAGGTAGCTGTCCGATAATATTGCAACTCCTCAGCATCCTGTAACAGAAAAACTAAACTTTTGAGTTTGCAAAAGACTTCTAGTACAGACAGACATTGTGTGTCATGCAAGCATTAACTCACAGTGTCTTCATGCTTTTCATATTCTCAAGTGGAGGAAAGGGTGCTTCAGGCCCACTCAAGTCAGTAATTCTCCTGCATGTTAAAATCGAGCAATGAACATCCAGAAAATTGCTAATCTGTTTGTATTTATAAATAGATACAAAATCAAAATCCATACTAACAAGTCAGTTAAATTTGTCAAATGAGAAATGCCAGAAGGAATTGGGCCCGTCAAACCACTAGCCTGAATCAGTCTGTTTTAACAAGTCATAACATTTGAATTAGTGATAATATTCAGAATCAAGTAGCAGCAAAGATAACAACAACAACAACAAAAACACTCACAGTTTCTGAAGATTTGTCCAGTTCTTTATAAAATCAGGTATCTGCCCAGAAAAGTGACTGTCACCCACCCGGCTGCATAATGATTGGCAAAAGGAAAACAGTACCAATTAATATTATAATGCGGTATTTGGGTGCTTAGGAAACCTTTAAGAAAAAAGAACAACAGAAGCTTACAAGTCTTTTAGTGTGGTAAGATTTCCAAATGTATCTGGCAACTCCCCAGTAAAATTATTTGAGGTAAGAAGCCTAACCATGAAGGAGACATAACAATTGTATTAAAGATAAAGAAGTCGATGATTTCTGATGAAAATATCCAGCATCTGTCTACAGCAAAGCGATTCCATATAATAAACCAAATATTCTTTTGTCACGATAACATTCGGAATAGGACAATCTTACATTCTTTCTATGAGGAGCAAATTCCCAAGCTGCCAAGGGAGCACTCCAGAGAAATTATTCATACTGATGTCCCTACACAAAGCAAATTCAATTCCATTGTGTTAAAAAAGTTCATCATTAAGGATCTCCAAAAAATCAAGTGGGGGAAAAGAAGAAACAAATGCGCAATCAACACTCACAAACTCTTCAGGGTTGTGATGTTTCCAATCTCTTTGGGGATAGAACCGGTCAAACGGTTTGCAACAAGGGAACTGCAATTTATGACCACTTTTATCAAATAAATGGCTCAATAACATTATATGGCCGTCAATAAGAACACGACAAGAACATCCACACACACACACACACACACACACATGTATGCAGAGTGAAAAACAAGACAGTACATGTTGACAAGTGGAAGGGAGCCCCATTCTGGAGGGATGGTACCACTCAGGTAGTTGCGGGTGAGGTCGCTGCAGGAGAAAGAAATGAGTCATTTTCTCATTGACAACAGACATACATGTAAGGTAACAACGTGCTTACATTTCTTTGAGATAAGTGAGCCTGGCCATCTCTTTTGGGAGTGTTCCTGGCAAATCCTGAGCTTTCAGAACTCTGTGCTTCATCACAAAACAAGGTTTCAAATCTTAATTGCAATTTAATTCTGTGCTTCATAACTCTGTGTCCTGACTAAAAAGAAATGCTTCTGAAAAATCACAAAGGAGACCAAAACAGTTAAAACACAAATTATTTAGAGAAAATACTTAACTTCTGAAAAATCGGCTTTACCAATCGTGAATTATGGGTTTAAGGCTCAAAAATTGTTTTTGAGTTTAGAGAAAATACTTAACTTGCAATTACGCAAACAGTTAATGTGCATTTCAAAACCAACAGTTACAAAGGCAGCTCTTTCAAAACCAAACAGTTCCAAAGGCAAGCCTGCATACAGCAGTAATACTAACTAGTAACTACCAACTCATCATAGAACTGAGCATCAATTCATCAAGTGTGTCTGCCAGAAATTTTTCTGCATTTTCTTGAATTCATCAAATAGAATTAAAATTTGAAGGAAAACCATTCAAGGCCACTTCCAGTCATGAACCATAACCCATGACCCAAAGCCGCCTGAGCCCAGTCTTAAAAATACTGTTTCTGGAAAACACCATTGCCAAATTACGTTGGTTGCCTTGCCTGGCCCCACATATATTGAACAGGTGGAAGAGGACGTGGCAACGGCCAATTTTGGAGGTGGCAGGATGATATTTTAAGTCAATTGAGGGGCCAATGTGAAAATGATAAATAATTGATAGACCCCAGAAAACCAAATGTCCAATCACAGCTGAGCTCATGGGCCAGTCAAGGAAGCTTCATGCACTGATTTCAGTGTCAGTCGCTCACGGGCCTCGTAGACATTGTCCTTTGATGTAATAATTGTTGTGCTTTTTGGTTTTATTTGTATCTTATCCTTCTAAACTTATTTCTTTCACATCAAAACTCAAGTCACTTACGCCATATTAGAATCCGAGCATCCTACTCAAAATTAATTAGCGAAAAATGATGATTTTTTAAGAACTTTATGTTAGGCTTTAGCTAGTAGTAGTAATTAACTAGATGTCTTAGGCATTAAGCATCCCAACAAATTCTGAGATAATATCACTGAACGATATCTTTTTTTTTTTTTTTTTTTTTTTTTTTTTTTTTTTTGTTCGAACGAAACACAAAGACAGATGGAAAGGACAAACCAAACACAGGCAACCACAACAAACAACCCAAAGAACAACAAAGCAAAGCGAAGTACCAGGCCAAACCAGCCAACCCAGAAAAAGAGACACTAAGTTCCAGCTAGGACAAAACACACTAGGACGCCACCCCAGAAGGCAAGCGTCAGATCCTAACTAGACAAAAAAACATTACACTTGTGGAGGACAAGAAAGACCATCGTTATGGAGCACGAAAACCAGGGAGGATGGGGGTCTACTGATCCAGACCTCATCGCACATCTTCCTCTTCGCTTCTAAAGCTGCAGCATCCGCTGCTCTGTTTGCTTTCCTTGGAATCCACTTCCAGTTGCAAGAGCCAAACAGTCTACTCTTCTCCCTTAAAGCAGCAAGGATTGGGTAGATTGTCCATTTACCTTTTTGAAAACAACCACTAACACTTTGAACCAGCTCCTTTGAATCAGACTCACACTCAAGGTGGATACAACCCAAATCTGAGGCGACCTCCAGACCATGTAAAGCTGCAAAAGCTTCAGCTTCAATAGGAGAAGAGGCTAGTCTAAACTTTCCCGCTCCCCTAAACGAATCTGATACTCCTAAGAACATCAAAATTAACTTAAGCATATATGTACATAACCTATCCTAACACTACTCATGTCACTTAATTAATTTAAGAGGAGTTTTAAGTGCGGGTACACGAGTGTGGAATTAGGTGGAACTAAAGTATGGAGGATCCTTATTTTCGTAAGGGTTAGATTTGGCAGGCGAACATAAGAATTTCTCATAGTTTGAACCTTCCCTAACATTTAGAGACTTTCCTACCTTTAACTAATCCGAGAAAGTTAGAAAAATTGTTAGAACCAAAAGAACAAGTTGGATTCCATGTATAAAATACAAAATTTGAAGGACTTTAAATTTTGTGATTTATGGACAAGAGTAAGTAACTATCAGTAGTACTTCTTTACCGACAAAGAGAGAGAGAGAGAGAGAGAGAGAGGAGAGAGAGAGAGAGAGAGAGAGAGAAGTTTACATGCTGGTAATATGGCAGACAGTGGAATTGGCAAAGGAACAATTACAGGTGACGCCATACTCAAATCCTTCAACCGGATTGGTATCAGTCCATGGTTTTTGATTGTCGCAAGGATCTGGATCTCCACTGAAATCCCAGTTCGTCTTCCCCAGTGTCTTTGCTATGTCAGCTAAAGTTTGTACTACATATATATATAAAAACAAAGTGCAACAATAATTTAACACCATATGCTCAATACTCAATATCTACAAATTCATACAATTAGTACCATTAATGTCTAAATAAACAAGAAATACAAAGTCATGAATCCAAGCATCATATATACGTATACCTTCATCTCGTGGCAATCGAGTAACTCCAAAAGCAAAATTTGCAAAGCAAACCACCAAGAGAGAATGAAGAAAAAGTCGTGGGAGGAAGAACATATTCACTCAATTAATTTTGTAAGGGAAACCTTTTCACATTTGAAGAGGAAACCAGTGCCCAAAATGAGAATGGGTTTGTGTTGTGAGGAGAATTGGTGCTTACATACAGCAACCAGCTTTTTATGGAAAGAGGAAGAGGGTGTGTGGTGGTGGGTGGTGGGTGATGGGCGGTGGGAGAGGGAGTAGACCTCGAAGAATTCACACTGAAGTCAAATACTTCAAATTATACGAGTATAGAAAATTATTATTCTCGTCCACTCTCCTTCTAATAAATTCACGTTTACATAAATAAAGACCAATTGATCCTCTCTGCGTGCTCCCCTCCCCCTATGTTTTTTCTCTTCTCTAAAGTCTACAGCAAGTGGGAGAGGCTGCTTCTTTTTTCTGATTGGACATTGACTTGTTGAATGACCAGAGCAGGTACTCTATCTATCGACAGCAAAGGTACGTAGATCGGTTGACTTGACTATTCATCTGCCTCCTCCTTCACACGTGACTCAACCAACTTGCGCAAGTAGCTAGCTGTGTCTTCTTTTGGACTCTGTTTCCTCGCAGCTCCATCAACATATTAACCTTGAAAAGGATAAAGTTTTGATGATGAATTGGTAAGTAGAGAATGAAACTCAGTATGTTATATAAAGGATTGATATATATATATATATATATATATATATATGTATTGTGGCCATGTAAGGTGAACTTGGGAAAAATTGGTAAACTATAAAATAAAGATTATGACACCTTATTTAAACCCCACACTTCTCTTAGTTCACCCCATGTTCTAATTTTTTTTTTTTTTTTTTTTTTTTTTTTTTTTTTTTTTTTTTTTTTTTTTTTTTTTTTTTTTTTTTTTTTTTTTTTTTTTTTTTTTTTTTTTTTTTTTTTTTTTTTTTTTTTTTTTTTTTTTTTTTTTTTTTTTTTTTTTTTTTTTTTTTTTTTTTTTTTTTTTTTTTTTTTTTTTTTTTTTTTTTTTTTTTTTTTTTTTTTTTTTTTTTTTTTTTTTTTTTTTTTTTTTTTTTTTTTTTTTTTTTTTTTTTTTTTTTTTTTTTTTTTTTTTTTTTTTTTTTTTTTTTTTTTTTTTTTTTTTTTTTTTTTTTTTTTTTTTTTTTTTTTTTTTTTTTTTTTTTTTTTTTTTTTTTTTTTTTTTTTTTTTTTTTTTTTTTTTTTTTTTTTTTTCTAACAAAATAGGGGTAACTTCGGGGGGTCCTGTAAACTTTAGTTTTTCGTTTTTTAGAACAAAGAAATAGTCTCCCCACGTGGACTTTTGTTAAAACTTCTGTTTAATAGCAGGGATTTTATAAAATATTTTATCATTAACGTTAGATTTTTGAGTGGCGTATTTGATTTAAAAATGGTTTTTGCTTGGTATTTTTACATAAAACAAAATAAAAAAGTTAATAACTGATCGAATGAATACTAAAAGATTTCTATCTTTAAAATGTAAAACGAACAACATTCAAATAAAAACAAAACGCTAGAACAACAAAAAAAATAAAAATAAAAATATTTCCAGATATAGTCTCCTCTCTCGCTGCTTTTTTACCTTTTGTCTCTTTCTCTGTTGGATATCTCACACCTTCAAGAATGGGTGAGATGAAGACGACAACCAGTTCAACAAACACAAAGATTAATCATTTTCCAAGCCCCTAACATCCATAAAAACAGGGACCTCCCATGAAACCACGTCTCTGGTCCTTTCAGTGCCTTTGTCATGTCTATCTTCCACTTGCTTTTTCCTGTTTCGGTCACATCATCATTTGTTGACCAACCAAGAGAGTGGGGGCTTGTACGGGTAAGTAAGTCATTCAAAACCACAGACCCACAACACGGCCATATGCCGCCATCCCATCCAAGAAAAACCACTACAACAACGCACCCTCCCCCACGGTTAATGGTACTTGGGTTTTTACTATTTTTTTGGTCGAAAGGGGCTTTTCGCCTTCTGTGATTAAAAAAATTTGGCTTAGATAAGGAGTTAGGTGTGGTGCTATTTTTACTGTCCACAAGCAGCCATAGTTTATAGGATTAAGGAAAAAAACCTTGCTTGGTGCTTCTTCTTAAACTTTCTCGATATCGTTATGGCGAGACTTGACAATACGGAGTTGGTATGCCAAGTTTGCGGCGAAGACGCAAGCAAGGGTTATTGGGCCATGGCATATCATTTCATAGCCAAAAAACAGGGTTTCTTCATTAATCTAAACTGCTATGGATCGGTCAATGCGTTTCCGCAGTTAGTAGGACTGGAGATCATCCTTAGGCTCGCGATGCGAGAATTGTCTCGCGGCTGGATGACATCAACAAAATGTTTTTTGGTTCCCTAATTCCCCTTTTCGCAGTTCGAGCGCGGCGGCCGACCCCAATGGTCTGATATGGGAGTTATTGGATCCTTACATGTAGTTTTTTGGCTGGTGTTGTGTCAGGGCTTCGGTTTTTGAGCACATTGGATGGCTGTCTCGTTTGGGGGTGGAGGTAAATAAGGACTGGAAAAGTTTTGGAAAAAAAGTTTGGTCTTGGCATGTCTTTCGTTGTCTTTTTCCTTCGCCGCCCCTTGGGGCACTATACAAATAGTTTCCAATGCCTTAGTTTTGATGGTTTGTTTCAATGATTTCTTTTTTGAAAAAAAAAAACTTGCATTGACAGAGACAAACTGCATTCTCAGTACTACAAGCGAGTCTTATCAATTGTTTCTTGGAGGTAGCGGAAAACGTCTTGGTTGTCATTACACAATGCTCCTTCGAATCCAATATATTAGGTTTTTACGGGTTGATTCTTGCTCATCGCTTTGCCGAGCCTTGCAAACGCTAGGGTCAAATGGATGACTGGGCGATAGAAACTGACGCTGGAGAAGGAGCTGTCATTGCCGGAAGAAAATGAGACATTCAAGCCTGTTGACTATGGAACCGCCGTTTTTTTTCCACAATGGTGTTGGGGTCATTTGTCGGGTGTTGTGCTAAGCACATGGGATTGGCCCTAGATCTTAAATCAGCCCCGTTCGTCAACGCTAGAGTTCCCAATTTCAAGATGGGTTTGTTTCAGGTTGATCATAAGGGTATTAAAATGACCAGAAAGGGTACACCTAGGATATTCTTGTATCGAAGAGTCGTGTTCATGCATAGGTTGGGCTTCACTGAGAAAGTGGTCCTCAAGGACACTGTGTTGTTTAAGGGAGGGAGAGGTAACGTTATTTTTTGGGGCTGACTCTTTAGTTTCGGCATCGTTAGTGCATGAAGGGGGAAACCATGAGATAGTTGATATGGATACGGTGCCACACCTATGCGCCCAAAGGTGGATGTTGATAGTGTTGATTTCAATTTAACTTAGATCAACTTCATCTTTTTTGGAAGGAGCACAAAAAATTTTGCCCTTGGTGTTTGGTTTGTTCAGAAAACTCTAGCATTCGCTTGTGGTAGGGGAGTTATGATGTTAGTTAAGGATGGAGGGAACTAAATCTGATTCAGAATAATGAGGACCATAGTTCAAACGGAAAAACAGGGCATGACCAAAAGCCACTACTCTGGGTATGTGAGTGAGCAAATAGAGCAAGTGAGTTGGGGGAATTCTTGAATGGTCATTTAAGAAAAGCATGATATTTTTCAACAGAAGACCAATTGAATGCGCCAGCCCGCCGAGAAGAGGAAAGCACAACAGACTTGGGTTTTTTCCAGGCTCCCACTCAAGGAAATTTGTTGACTCAGCTAAATGAGGCAAATGACATGGTGATCCCAGCCTTACATAGGGGAATAAACTAGGGTGGATAAAATGTGATAGGGAAAGGGTTCATGGAGACAAAAAAATTGCTGTTTAGGTTTATGGTGTTCTAAGCGTCGCCATGTTATGGGACCGCCCTTCATTAGTGTTGACCAAATTTTGCAAGGAGTTCCAACTACAAAAGGTAAAGTTGAGTTTGAGCAATAGGGACTCAAAGAGTTAAATTCTATTTGTACCATGTTGGTTGTGAAGGTCATAGGTCGGGAATAGGTGTAAAATGCCTCTCAGGTGATAGTGGCGGCTAGAGGCAACCGATGCAACGCTTTACCGAACCATTTTTACTCGTATAACATGTGAGCTTGCAAAAAATCTTGTATTTGTTTACAAGAGATAAAAACACTTTCACTTGCAAATGTGGTTTCAACAACCAAAAATAAGGTCATTCTATAGGATGGCTAGTGTGGCAACCATTAGGGAACACATGTACCCCAAAGTGTTTTGAGTTAGGAATTGGAGCCAAAACTGTGGTTATTTCAAGGGAAGTAATGATGAACTCCTTCAAATACTCAAGTGCCTGATTTCTTCTAAAGTTTGTGCCAAAAATTTCTACAGTGTTCTCTTTGGCCTCTGGGAGTTAAAAAGTAAAGCAAGGGTTGGATCAGAGGGCCTGTTTATCTCTCATGTGGGGGGATAGTTTCTCTCTTAGGTTATCTAGCATTTTCTTGTCTGTGTGCTTATGGGTAGATACATTAGCCTTGCCCTTGTCTGTGCTTTGATTAGGACTAAATTCGTTTTGTGAATTTTTTTGAAATATGGGTCTTGGCTGTACGTCTTCACAGTGTAACTACTCTTTAACAGATGGCTTGCGTCTTCGGTGAACCGAAAACATGCTCGTTATTTGAACTGTGCAAGAAGTTCTCTTGTCGGATTTGCCAAAAGCTTATGTGGCAGGAGTACATACTTCACTGTAGATGGGATTCGGGGTATTGGGTCTATTTCTGCGAACAAAAATCAGAACCTCAGTGAAGGTGTAAACTGTCTGCATTCCATACAAAGTTAAAGTGAACTAGTCCATCTGCCTCTGTAGGTCTAGTAGAATTAGAACAGATTCAATTTTTTCGTTCCATCCCCCCCCCCTACGCTTCGCGCTCACACCGCTCATAGGCATGTACCCCCCACCCTCTTCACCACCCCAGCCCACCCCTAGTGTTTCAATCTACGCTTTCATTTCTTTTGTGCTTGGAGTGTTTGATGGTTTTTTTTGTGGTGTTTGGTTGTTTGTGTGTGGTTTGTATTCCCTTGTTGATTCATGTTATTTGTTTGATAATGATTGCGAGATAATGTTATATTGTTGTTTTTTATGTTGTTGTTGTTTGTGATTTTGGTTATATGTGTTTGGCTATGTTTTTTATTTGTTTGGGTTTTGGTGTGCCTGTTTATTTGGTTTATTGTTTGTTTTGTGAATTATGCTTGTTGAATATTGGTCTGGTGTGAATTGAGATGGCTTAATGTGGTTTTTTCAGTGCTTTTTGTGTTCGTTTTGAGTCATTGATGGTTGGTGCATTTATTGGTGTTTTTGTGCATTCCATGTTGGGTGTTGTGGTTGGTGTCTTTTTGTGTATTGTTCATATGGTATATTGGGTTGTTTGCTTTGTGGTATTTTGGAGTTTGTGGTGATTTTGCTCATGTTCAATGTTGCTATATCATGCTTTTTGTTATATTTTTTTCATTTCAATTTATTGTAGTTGTTATTATTTGCTTGTATTGATTTTTTGGTGTTATTTTGGTGAATTATTTTAAATGTTTGTTTGGTTTTTATTTTTTGCGTCAATGCTCTTTTGTTTTATTTTTGTTTGTTGTGTTCATGATTGTTAGGTTGTTTTTTTCAATTTGTTGTATTTTCTGTATTCGACGGGAGGTGATTTTGGCATCTCTGAGTTTTTGGCTTGGTTGTGTTTTTGATTTTGACTTGGGTGCTTTTTTTCATATGTTTTTCCACATTTTTTGTCATTGTGATTATGTGGTTGTGTTTTGTTTAAGTTTCTTGTTTTGTTTTTGATTGTTTTTCAGTTCTATTTTGCACCCTGTTTTTGATCATTTTTGTTGCTATGTGCTTTTGGAGTAATTTCTGTTTTGTCATGATGTGATGGGTGTTTATTTGTTTGTTTTATTTTTTTGTTTTTTTTGGTCATGTGGTTTTTTTTATTGTTCTTGTGTTTTTTATTTGTTTGTCTTTGTTTTTGTGTTTTATTTTCTTCATTTGTGTGATGGATGGTTGTTCATGATGGTGGTTATGTGTTTGTTTGTTGGATTATGTTTGTGCTGTGGTTTTGTGTTTACTTGTCATTTTTTGATTGTTGGGTCTGGGTTTTAGTTTGAGATTCTCAGTTTTGAAATTTGGAGGAGATGGGAAATGAAGCTGAGTTTCTTGCACCTATTACACCTCAGCAAAATGGTGTTGAAAAAAAAAAAAAAAAAATAATAGAGATCTTGTGAGATGGTTAGGATGATGCTCCAATAGCAAAAATTTTTGCTAAAATATTTTTGAGGTAAAGCTGTAAATACAGCTTGTTGCATCTCCATCAGGGGAGTTTTTGAGGTATGGTGCCAACACAATCCCTAGTGCTTTGGAAAGGTAAGAAACCCAATGTTGTCTTATTTTAGAGTCTTTGGTAGCACATGGTTGTATCTAAGAAATGGGGAACACCTTGCTAAGTGTGACTTTAAAAGTGACAACACAGATTTTTTCTTGGGTATTCCACTTCAAGCCGAGCCTCTAGAGTATACAATATAGGTCCGAAAACCCATCAGGTCAATATGGATGACTTTGCTGCCTCTACTGAGATGGCATTAGATGAGGATGGTCTTTTATCTTCTCTGCTTGAGGGAGAATCTTCAGGTTTGGATCTAGTGGTTGACCTGTCAACCTTTAGCAAATCGGTTGACCAGTCCACTCTTGACAATTCTGTTCCAGTTGACCTGTCAACTTGTCATAATATTCTCAGAATCCCAGCTCATCTGTTTTTGTTGAAAACTCTCTATAGAAGCATGATAGGAAGCCTTCTCTACTGACTGCAAGAAGACCTGACATTTCCTAGTGTGAGGGTTTTGTGCTAGGTTCCAAAGTGATCCCAAAGAGTCTCATTTGTTTGCTGTCAAAAGAATCATAAAATATGTGAGTAGAACTTTTGAGTTTGGGTTGTGGTATACCTATGACACTTGTGTCAATCTATTGGGTAGTGATGCCGATTGGGCAGGTTGTAGTGATGATAGGAAAAGCACTTCCGGGGGGTCTTTTATGTAGGCAACAACCTAGTTGCTTTGCATAGCAAAAAAAGAACTCTATCTCCTTATCCACTGCAGAAGCAGAGTATTTTGCAGCTGGGAGTTGATGCACTCAACTCCTTTGGATGAGACAAATGTTGGAAGACTATGGTCTTACTCAATCATGCTTTCTAATCTATCGTGACAACATGAGTGCTGTAGATATTTCTAAAAATCCTGTTCAACACTCTAGGACTAAGCATATAGATATTAGGCACCATTTTATTAGAGATCTTGGGAAGACAAAATTCTATCTTTGGAATTTGTTCCCTCTGAGAAACAGCTAGCAGATATACTCACCAAGGCCTTGGACTTTCATAAACATGTCACACTTAGGTAGTCCATTGGCCTTTGCTCAATTGATTGATTAGCTTGTATGTTCCTTATCTTCAGCACATTGCAAACTGTTGACTAGTCATCTTCGTTTTAGTTGACTAGTCAAATATAAATTTTTGTTTACTTGGTGTGCAAATGTCAAAAACATCTGTTTCTTCTGATCTCTGATGGTGTGAAGTTTGAATCATTTTATGCTTTGCCTGATTTGTGCATAATTCCCCCCTTCTAGTTTGGAGTCATTAGATGAAATCTTTTTTTTGTGGGTGTTTTTTCGTCCTCTTGGTGAGACAAGTGTTGTGATCCATTGTGGACAATCATTGTTATAATCTCCTATTTATCTCACTCTCTTAGGCAATTTAAAAAAAAAAAAAAAATAAAAAAAAAAAAGAAGAAGAGTGACCAATGTAGTCACGACTCTAGGAAGGTATAAGGTGATATGATTGAAGAATCTAGAGCAAGAGCCGCAAAATTGGGCCACTCAAGCACTTAAGTCTGGGATGTGCAAATAACAAACATAATAAATGGCCAGATTGAGTGATGAAATTCAAATAGGTTGAATCTATGCTTTGAGTTTGTCTTGAAGGTTCATTATATACTTGTCTCTCCAAGAGTGATATTTCTTCATCTCTTGTGTTTTTCTTTTGGCTCTGAACCTCCTCTGTCCATCTTGCCTTATCTTTGAGCATGAAATCTAATTCATATTCTATCCATCAGAGTTAGTTGCAATTGTTTTGTTTGCACATGTGGTTATCTTCTCTCTCTCTCTTACTTACTGTGCTTGAAGACTTGGACTAGGCTATAGTAGCTAATACATCGTTGATCACTTGATATATTTGCTAGTTCATGTTTGTGTTTTTTTAAAACCAAAATCATGTCATCTTCAAGGTCGATACTAAAATTGCTGCTTGTTATGATATTGCCTGAGTTCACTAGTCAACACATGCTTATGCTGATTGTGGTTGACTAGTCATCCAGTTATGCTTGTTATGATATTGTCTTCGTTGACTAGTCAACTTATGCTCCCACTGATTATGATTGACTAGTCATCTGCTTAATAGAGTTCTTGTGCCTTTTGGTGAAATTAATTTTCACTCTCTAAGAAAGACCATTGGTTATGAAACAAAGCACAAAGGCTCACTTGTCTTCTCCTTGTCTCATTTACACCTTCTGTTTCGAACATTGGTATTGTGTTTATGTATGATCGTGTTTGGATGATGCCACTTTGGTCTATGACCATCTCGTGTGTTCCCACTTCAATGATTTAGCCTAACTAATTCTTGAAATCCTTACGAGTTTGCTGTGCTATATGAGTTTTGGATTGTTGGCTAATTTATTTTGTTGGGGGAGTTTCTTTGAGATGCATGTGTTTTGGCAACATTCTTGCTGGTTGTTTTTATCATTTTCATACATCATGTTGCCTTTCTAAGCCTTATCTCGATTGATTTGCTCTCTTTTGTTCTTGGCTATGTCTATGAGGTTGTTGGTCTTTTGATGCCACCTCAAATTTAGACATGCGTGACTAGTCCGTTTCACTAGTCCACTCTCTTCTTCTTGTGCTTTTTGGAAAGCTGTGTTGGTTTTTTTGGACAACCTAGAGACTTATTTCTTGTGCTCTTTCTCACATGTCTCAATTTTGAGCAAAAATTTAGGGTTCATCTTGCTTGGTACTTTCTTCAAATTTGACAATGATTGATGCCTTAAATTTTGAAATCTTGGTGCTTTGTCTTGATTTTGCACTACGTTGTGTAAAGAAAAATTCATTGGTTATCCCTTGTTTTGATAAATATGTTGCTTAAACTTTGTCTTTTTAGGGGAGTTTCTTTATGTGTAATGTGTACACGTTGAAATTCAATTCAGCCACTTGATTTTAATTGCTTTAGGTATGATTCCTTGCAACTTGTGCTCCATTTCTTATTCTTTTAGCTTGATGCACTTTTGTGTTTGTTGGCTATTTATGGAAAGTTTGCTGAATCAGTACGTCAAAGGTTATGTCCTTTATGTTATATGATACTCGATGGGAGTATGTTTTCTAAAGGGGTGTTTTGCTTTAGGAAAAGTAATTCTGGACAGGTTGTGCATGTTGATAGGGGGAGTTGTTTTTGTAATCACATTTTGGGTAGTCTGTGCATTTTGATAGGGGGAATTGTTTTGTAATCACATTGTGGGTAGTTAGTGCATTTTGATAGGGGGAGTTGTTCTGTCCTGTTTTGAACAACTAGTATTTGACTAGTCATCAATCTATGTTCTGTACTGTTTTGAACAACTGTTATTTGACTGGTCATCAATCTATGTTATGTGCTGTTAACCTTGTTCATATCTGCCTATCCTTTTGTGGTTAATTCCTTTGTATGTTGTTTCTATCTCTCTGCCTTTTTGCACTTTCCTTATCAACAAGGGGGAGAACACTCTCAACCCCACATCGCATATTGTTTTAAAAATTCTGTGATAATATGCTTGTTTTTGTGCCTGGGAGATTGGTTGTTCTTGCAAGTATCTTCACTCCATCATCTCCTTAGTTTCGGTTTTGGGTTGAGTGTTTTTAGAGAGTGTGTTGTCAAGGAAAGCCAAAAAGGGGGAGATTGTTAATGTATGGTTTTTACTATTTTCTTTTGGCTTCCCTTGACAACTTTGTAATAGAATGTGTTTGTTATTTATCAAGCTCAAGTTTAGATTAAGGAAAACTTTTCTTGGTGCTCTTCTCTAACTTCTGTTGTATGGAGGTTCAAGCAATTTGACAAAGGTATTGTGCATTGCATATCATTTCATAAAACAGTCTTCATAAAAATGATGACTAGTCATCCGTTTCTCAGATGACTAGTCATCCTTGGTCTGTAGGATTTCCAGCTGGATAACAAACTGTTTTGTCCTGTTCCTCTTTCTCTCTCTCTGCTGCCATCTGTGTTTTCTGACCTAAGGAATTTTTTGGCTGTAAAGGCTACGTTTTTGGTCATTTGAGGGTTGTCTCTTTTGGGTGGAAGTTTTGGAAAGTTTGGCTTGCCATCTTTCGCTTCTTCTTCCTCGAGAGAACCATCTTATTTCATCTATGAGTTTTTCCAATTGATTTCTTTTTGAAAAACTGCATTTGAAACACAAATCTGCATCTAGCTACTTAAATCATTCTATCATTTATATCTAGGTCAGATTCAAGATTGATTTCTTCAAGAGTATGGTTTCTTGAAGAAATTGGTCATTCTTCTTTGAATCCAAATTTTGGTTTCGGTTTGTGTTGGAGCTTGCAAAGCTAGTGCCATGGGATGAACGAGCTGGAGAAGGAGCTGCCATTGCCATGAAGAACTGAGCTTCAAGCTTTGCTAAGTTGGAGAAGAAGATTGCACAAAGGAGGTATAGCTCATCTTCCTAAATAGATCTAGGTTTTTCTTGAGCTTGCTTGTGTTCCTTTGTAAGAATCTTTTTCTACTTAGTGGATTGCCTGGTCGGTTGATGACCCCCAGTTTTTCCCAATGGTGGGTTTCTGGGTAAACAGTTTCTGGTTTCCAACTCTGTAAATTTTCTGGGTTTGTGTTCTTGACAGTTGACTAGTCATCTGGGTTTGTGCAGTTGACTAGTCATCTTTTTTGCTGTTTGGTGTTTGCTTGATTATGTTGTCTTCACACACTTTCACCATAGTTGTTGCTAGCACAGGGATGCCTAGATTGACGGGTCCTTCTGAGTGCCTAGGTTGTCACTAGTAATTCTCTAGGCTTGCAGGTACATCTTGGTATGCTCTGTGTATGTTATTGTTTGGTATAATTCATATATGACAGTTGACTAGTCATAAGAGTATTTGGTCAAGGTCTAGAGTGTGTGAAGTTTGCTGCGTTCTTGGTTGAATATCTTTTAAATTTACCCTCGTCACTTAAGTACCATTTCAGCCTCCACAGTCGTCCCCCCAGCTCCCCACCACCGTCCCCCAGCTCCCTACCACCATCATCAACACCCTCCTCTACTATGCCACCAAATCCAACGACACATTCAAAATGTCGTACGCCGACATCAAGCCCATCTAGGACGCCCTTCGGAAATGCTCAACCCCCTGCAACTTCCTCATCTTTGGCCTCACCCACGAGACCCTCCTTTGGAAGGCCCTCAACAACAATGGCTGCACCGTCTTCATCAACGAAAACCGCTACTTCGCCGCCTACATAGAGGAGAAACACCCGGAAATGGATGCAACCGACGTGCAGTACACAACAAAATCGAAAAAGCTCAAGGAGACCCCATTCCAAATCAAAATATGTCGTTGTATTAAAGACCAATTTTTCATAATCTTGAGTTTTTTCATATATGTATGCATAATTCATCGTGCATTTAAATCAAATCAAAACTTATACTAAAAGAGAGGCGAAGATGGAGATGGAGATGGAGATGGAGATGGAGATGGAGAGGGGCTGGGAAAGGATGGGTGAGGTCAT